TACGATATTTCAAGGCCCTTGGTAAGCCAGGGTTTAGTTCTTATTTTTTTAAGTTTAAAGTGTTTTCTGGGAAGAATTTTAGTAATTTTAGCAATTGGAAGTAGAAGATATTGTAATTTACGTTTACGTTATTATTTACCGATAACATTGTCACCCAGTCAATTTCGTGGGTTGCTGCTTTAAATTTCAGTATGTTATTTTTTGTAAAAATTCTTTTGCGAGCGCGTATATTATCTGTAGTAGGAACAATTTGTTTGAAGTTGTATAATAAGCATTTGTGATCGGAGAGTCCCTGGTCTTCTACATAAACATTAAATTCTTATAGTTAGAGCATAAAAGATCAATGCAAGTAGTAGAGCTATTCGTCACTCTAGTTGGTACATCAATTAGTTGTCGTAGGTCAATTTCGAGCATAGTGTTTATGAGTCTTTGATAGTTTGTAGCGTTCTGAAATTTGTTGATATTAAAGGCACCTGGTATAATTAAATATGCTTGTGACTTTTTGCTTTCAGAAGACCGAATAGTTTATCTAGTACTTCGAAAAATTTGTTTATATCTCGATCAAGTCTATACAATGAAATTAGTAATATATCGGGTTTTATCTCTACTCCACAGCACTTCATTATACACTCCAGAGAAAGAGCTGCGATATCCGGTAACTCCTTGTGAGGAATATCATCTTTTAACAGAATCAACGTGCCTCCTCCCCTGTGTTCGCTTCGACTAATACTGGCAGCGAGGCAGAAACCATTCAAGTTTATATTTAGTAAGCCAGGTTTCAGAAAGGCAAATTGCTTGGTATGGTTTATCATGTAAGAGGCTTTCTAAAATGTTGATTTTGTTAATCAGACTGCATATTTTGTATGAATATCCAAAAGTCAGTCTCGAAAGGAATGGTTTCGGCTATTGCTTGATTGTTTTTCTGCTGAAACATTAGCTCCTTGATCAGGAGTAGACGGTGGCGTGGGCTTCAGGTCCTGAACTTGGTTCTGTGTTGGAGAGTCATTTGGAAGGTTGTGGTTATAGATCCATCCGTTAACTATGAGTTGGTTGTTTCTGATTACGGCATGGTTCCCTTCGCGTCTAGCTACTTTACAAAGAACTCGGTCAACTAGGTTGGCTCGCTGCAGCTACTGCGATACTGCCTGAATTAACCTCTGCAGCTGCCGTAATGCTGGCCGAAGTATTCTCAACAGTTGCCTGGATCGTTTTCACTTCCTCTAACCTTTCCTCCTCCATGTTCAAAAGTTTAGACCTGAAATTTGAAGGCTGGGTAAGACTCCTTCTACCTGTTTAACACGTAGTAAGAAGTAGATACTTTATCATAATAGTAATTTCAGGATGTCCTGTACCTATCCCACATTGACAGCAAGTACTTCAAATATTGAAGACAGCTAATTCCACTTAATGGACACTAATTTATTTTTTTAAATAAGTTATGGGTAAAAGGAGAACGGGCAAAATTCAAAGACTTTGAAGACCTGGAAGCGGCCACTTCAAAAACATAGTTTTTATAATTCTTTATGTTAAGACAAACAACACATAGTGTAGGGGTCAAAGTCATATTTTGTGTGTAAAAGAAGTTATGACCAATACAATCGCCGAAGTAATAAATTAACACATGTCGCATTGTTCACAAATATTCTTTTATTTTCTGGATCACGCAAAATCTTTTGTATAAAATAAAACAATGCCGTGTGTAGTCATGCCGCCGTGGCCTAAATTCCCTTCCTCCCACCCCTCTTATGCGCACGCGCATCCAGGTTCAAGAGTTTTTACTTAACTTAGTTTAGTTGTTTCGACTTGCTTCAACTGTTCTGTGCTCTCCATTGCTTTCTCATTGTCATATGAGTTTGTTCGCTCATCTCGCTCATTTGTTGCTTTATTTACAGATTTTTTAAAATAAAATAAGCTACATCTGTCGCCCTTAGTGAATAGGGAATAGTGAAAAGGGTGTTGGAAGAGAGAGCATAATACAACATTATTGTACGTACCTTACTGGTGGACGGACGTTGGGTTGTTGTGCTCATGTCATATTATTGCACGATATCTAGGGTGGGCGTGGCACCAAGGCACTCTTAAGCTTACAGCTTAATTTTTAGATGAAGTAATCATAGACAAAATAAATAAGTTTTGAAAAAAATACATTACTTAATACCTTTTTTTCTTGAGTATTATGTATGTGGAAAACCTTTTATATCAAGAATTACTGGATCGATTCCCAAAATTGTGTTTTGAAAATTATTCCACCGCTTATGGAACTCTTTAAACCTTAAGCTACTATTTGGCCAATCATGGTTAAGATACACGACACACAAACAAAATTCCAATGCGAATGACTTTGACGATTTGACGTGTAAGCAGTAGTAACAATTTCATACGCCATCTATCGACCACTCGCTTGTACTTACACAAAGTCAAATAAAGATGTTGTAAATTAGAATACAGATGAGTCATAAGTGTTTTTTTGCAATCTATACCTACGAGTACGTTGTTGTTCCCTCAGAGACATTCGAGAATAAACCATCGTAAAAATAAACATTACATAATATTTTAGGGTCAAAATCGTAGTAGCATAAAAGTATTAGGTAAATCGTCCAATGATTCGATCGTTAGTTGATAGGATCAATTAACAACTAATACTACTATTTTCAACTATAAAAGAGAAGTAGGAAAGAGTAGTAAAATTAAAACATATACTTTTATTCACTATGTTTTAAATGCATTTAACAAACTTCATATACTTTAAAATAGGTACTTTATTAACTAAATTGTTAACATTAAAACGCGTCAAAATCTAAGTAGCGAGAATAAGTAGTTTAATTGAAGTTGGAGTACTATTTTCTGGTTGAAGCATGGGTTCGTCGTCACGAGAGAAAATATTTACGATATTTTCTGGATCTGTGGTGGTTTTATTTTCTTTGTTTTCTATTTTCTTTGAAACAAAACTGCTGCAAGCGGCAGTGGGCGGAAAATGAAATGCAGAATAATTTCATTTCTACTAAATAAAGTGGGTATGTCTTTGTGTCCCGCGGTGCAGCGCGGCGCAGCCTGACGTCACCAGCTTGTGCCACCACGGGCACTACAAAGTGTGACTAAGCTTCTCAACAATAAGGTATATTTCTTTGAAAGGCAAACATTGGCTGAGCGACATCGGACATGCGAACTTTGGAAATAGCAATACAATATAGAACTTCAATTGTGTTAAATAAAGTGAATATTTCTTCTCACGGGAATATGCTGTGTGTGGCCGTGTTTTAAGCGATTTCCGGCAGTACCAATTAGGAAAATGAACTTTACTAAAATGGTTTTGGCTAAGGTGTTCTGGAAAGTGTCGCTGTGTGAATTCCGTAGCTCTTGGTCCCGGGTTCGATTTCCGTAGAACCGATTTGGGAAATGAGCTTTTCTAAAATGGTTTTGGCCTAGGTGCTCTGGGTAGAGCCGCGGAGTGTATTCCATAACTCTTGGTCCCGGGTTCGATTCCCGGTAGAACCAATTTGGGAAATTAACTTTTCTGAAATGGTTTTGGCCTAGGTATCTTAGATAGTGCCGCGGAGTATATTTCGTAACTCTTGGTCGCGGGTTCGACTCTCGGTAGAATCAATTTAGGAAATGAACCTTTTTTAAAATGGTTTTGGCCTAGGTGTTCTGGGTAGTGCCGCGAAGTAAATTCCGTTGCCCTTGGTCTCCTCGGGTTTGATTCCCTGATTGGGTTTGATTTGAATGATTTTTTTTTATTGAATTTTATTGACTTTGAATTTTAAATTCTCTTCCAAAACACCTAAACCTTCTCATCCAATGCCATATTAATTGCATATGTAATGTAGAAATTCCACACTTCACTTTAGATTTATTTTTTATTTCGGCATACATATCTATATTATCTAGTCTTTGATAGTTATTAAAAACGATGCAATGTAAATATAACGAAATAACTAACTTATAAAATCTAAAGTATAAAAACAAAGTCAAATACAAATAAATAAATAACAAAGTATAAATACAAATTAAATTTAACACAAACACGACGACACGAAAGGTGACTGAGCGTAGTACTGCGCAGACCTCGCGAGTTGGAAGCGCTTATTTTTTTCAAATAAAAATACTTAACTATTTATATTTTTATTTATATTATTATAGTTCATAACTATATAAGTTAAAAAAAGTGAATGATACATTCTGTTTGAAATTAAATTATCTATTTTTTCGTGTAAATTTTATAAACAAACGGATGTTTGCATGTAAAGAGAAAATTGCTTTTTATTCAATTTGACGGACGTAATTGTAAATTTTATTTCGTAAAAAAAGCTTAATAAATTGTAGTTTTGCTCAATACATTCAATTATTTAAGGACTACTAGCAATCATATTTTTTTGTGATTATTGGACTATTATTATTATCAGGAATTTAATTTAAAAAAAGCCTAATTCGTCAATCTGGCATTTGTTCCAGCCTTAATGACTTACGTGTTGGTGCCCATAACATTTTTTATTGGAATAATGATATCTATTCATTGAAAGTAGTTTTTGAAGTGGCCGCGCCCATGTTCATTTTTCTCATTCTTCTTTACTTTTTCTCTGTTTCATATTCGTTTGCTTTTTAATTAAACGTTTAAATTTATGGTATTTCTTCTAATGATATGATATACATATAATTGATATATAAAATAAGATACTGTGTTATTCAAAAGAAATTATTCCATACATATGTATTACCCTTTCCATCGGTATCATACAATTTGTTATCTTTCTTCTGTTGAAGTACTTGTTGCCCACATGCTATAGGCGTAGAACGCACTGTATATATTACGAATATAATGTCCTCACGAATGGGTCTTCCAGGCGTCTTCAACCGATCTGCGTAGGAAGATGCAGCTGTAAATAAGAGAGTATTTATATAAATATGCATTTGATGAATCAAGTTTAATTTTATGTAACCGAATTGATTTAAATTGAAACTTACAAGGAATGGTAGCTTCAGGAGGAAGACCAAAAGGCACTGAGGAGGGTCTGGGCGTTGCAAAGAAAGAAACCGGCAGCTCCAATCCGGAAACCGGCAGCTCTGGTCCCGAAACCAGCAGACTGAGCATTTATATTGGAACTGTAAACAATATATTATAATAAGTACAAAAAGCCAGAACGCTGCTATACAACCCCTACTCATGGGAATAAAATACAAGTTACTTACCATTCAGACTTCAATTTTAAATTTCACGCTGAAACAAAAAAAATCCACGAATAAGTGTGACAGATACCCATCATCACACACAGTGCTTGCAACAAATGCTGAGGGGAACTTGCGGGATGGTAATAAAACAAGTTATAGTTACGGAGAAGAGTTTAAATAAGCTCTGGCTTTTGGCAAGCCGTACCCTTCACCAATTATGGCGGCTATTCTATAGTCGACTTCACTCAAAGGTGGAGCTGAGGCAGGAAGGTCTCCAGCTGCCGCTTTCTTGGCACAAAGGAGGGAGGAGGAGGAAGTTTGTAATGAAGTAATATAACCATACCTACATTTAGTTCGACTACTTCATTACTACTACAGTGTACTCACAATAGACAAAGTCCGACAATTAAAATATAATAAAAATAAAATAAAATAAAAAAACTTACCTACTTTCTGCCACTGATCTTGCCGGAGCGTCTTAACTCCTTTAGGGTTGTGATTAGTTCCGTCCACTATCTGTAAGCACGAGCCCCTCAACATTCCGTAGCGGGTGACCGCGGGTGAAGACCCAACATTCCGCAGCAGGTGACCGCGTGTGAAGACCTATTTTAAGCTCTTGCATAAAATCACAAGCATCTCTATTTGTTCGCCGGTAGCATTGGTGGACATTCTACAACAAATATGTTCATTAGACATTATTTTATTGTAAACAATCAAATTGGGGGTTATGTGTATTTGGTACTTACCTTTTACGAAATTGAAGAAAATGCACCTCACTTTCAATATATTCCACAGTGCTACTGTTGATAACTTGTAAATGTAATGGAAAAGGAAAATAAAACAAATCTTAGACTATTTTCCATCCTCGTAGACAGAGTATAGAGTAGACAAGTCACTAAATTGCTAGAAAGAGATGAAGCTAGTGTTGGTATACGGCAAGGCGCTTACGAGGAAGCAAGAAAAATTAGTTATAGTTTTTGTGTTTATGTGATATAGTGTTGATATTTGCCGCCACCAGTGCATTGTTAGTAAACAAACCCAAAGTTCCTGGTAAAGTTTCCTCAATTAAAACTTTTTTGCGTGATATTGCGACTGAATGCGACTCGACGCCGGCGTTGTGAGAGGACATGTGTTTTACTGCGTAACTTAAATTTTAAATGTACAAAATGGAAGATGGTCAAAAAGGCAACCTTTCAAAATGTAATCGTAAAACTATAACAAATAAATTGTTATGTATTTCAGATAGTCATTATTAATTCAAACAAGAATTATGAAATCATTAAAATGACTGAATATTATGTATTTTAGGAAAGTAACCTTGTTTCACAAGTTTCGTTTAAAATAAGGGACCTACAGAGGCACCTATATTTTTTTTTACGAGAAGCCTGGTGGCCATACTTATAAATTTTACATGGAATTTGTAGATGGTGTTAGTTAACGCCCAATTATATTGACTTTAAAATAAAAATACAATCACGCGCATGTGTAGCGAACTACATTATAGTCCATTTGTTTAGGTACTTAACTAAATGTAAACAATCTTGATACATCTTTTTATTGAAACACATGCTTTACAAATCAATAGGTATAAAAATAGGCATGCAATTTCATATGAAGCTAAGTATTTGTATTTTGTATTTGAAGGTAAGGGAAAATCATTTTATAAATGTATATTTCATTAAATAGACATCTCAAGATTATTTACATTTAGTTAAGTACCTAAACAGATAGACTATAGTAACGTCGAGCGGCGTAGCGGCTACAATATCGAGGGCTACGACATCGAGGGGCTACGAGTGATTGTTGCGTATAGTTCATATCAACGATAAAATGAGTAAGTGTAGTATGGCTTGTAGGAGATTTGTGGCTATGGCGAAGCGTGTTCAGTGTCCCGGCTGTAGAAATAGTTATGACCGACAATGTCTTAAAATGGCTAAAAGTACAATAATTCCGTCAAACTGGAAATGTTCGCTGTATATCTCCAAAACACCAAAAGGAGGTAATAGCGAAACCCCGGTCAAAAGTTGTTCGTTGGAAAACGTCGAAAAAGAGATCTCCCGCCCCATGTTAGTAATGTCGGTTCTGATGATACTCAGGCCTCGCATGTGGCTGCTCCGCAGTCCCCTAAGGACATCAATGGCGAGCTGGTGCAGGGAATGCGCTCTCTTACAATGGAAATGTCGGCGATGCGATTGGAAATGTCTCAGTTTATGGAACAGTTCGGTAGAGTACTTGGTGCTGTGGATGCGGCGAACAAACGCATGGATGCACTCGAGAACAGACTTGCCAAATTCGACGACCGATCATCCGAGTCGCCCGAGTGTGTTACTGATTTAATGGCTACGGTGCAACAGTTAAAGCAAGACTTAAACGATTGCGAGCAGGATCTCGCCTCGGACCTGGAAATTGGCGGACTGCCAGAAGTAAAGGGGGAGAATGTCATTCATTTAGCCTGCCTAGTTGCAGAGAAACTTGGAGTGAAGCTGGAACAAACTGATGTGGTGAGTGCAGAGCGCGTGGGACCGCCACGACAGTCGTCCAAAGGTCATGGCGGACAACCCGCTCGCCCGCGGCCGTTGGCTGTGCGCCTCGTGCGGCGCGCTCTATGTAACAACTTGCTGCACTGCAATTTGCTCGGCGCGCGTGCGAAGAGGAGCGGACACAAATGGTTTCGATATACCTGGCCCACCCCACAGATTCTATGTGAATGAACGACTGTCCCGCGTGCCTTTCAGATCTTTGCGATTTAAAATCAGCTTTGAAGTGAGTGACACTGCAACTGCAATGGACAGGCGTATCGCTTACGATCAAGCGCTTGTCATTTGGTATCATAAAAAAAGTCTCGAACGAATAATATCCTTTCGGCGGAATATTTGGCGCAATTGAAAAATGAAATAAAACTGCTGTCATTGCTATATCACCATACAAACAAAAATAGAAAGAGACAAATAAGAAAGAAGCTTGCGAAGAAGACTAGGAAAGGAAAAAATAATAATAATAATAATAACGTTTATTGCAAAACATGTTGTTACATAATAGTTCTTATAGTAGTTTACAGTATCAAACATGTACCCTGTAAGGGCGTAGCAATGTCAATTTTTTAAATATACATTTGGATTACCATTAATTAAAATATCATTATAATGATAATTAAATCTAAACAAATATTTTCTGAAAAGTCAATGAATTAATTGGAAAATGAATGTCAAATTGAAGTCTAAAGTATTTCAAAAAAATTAATCGTCAAATTATTCTAGAATTATATAATAATAGTCATAACATTTGTCATTTTATTAAATTACATAATTATGTCATATTTTTTATAAATATAGTTATAGTTTGGAATGTGGAAATTAATAAAGGTGAAAAGGTGGGCAATTAAAAAAACGGAAAGAGACTGAAAAAGTAACTAAATGATCAAAGGAAATCAGCGACAGTGATGGTAAAAATACTCCTTTGTTGGTATTGCAGCGGTCGTTATTTGAAATCAAACGAAGGTTGTGCTTCATTGTAATAATGATACCCATGGAATATAACTAGATAAAATGAAAAAACTAACAATCTAATCAATATACTCTAAATCAGGGCTTACCAAACTTATTTTGTCTACTGCCCACTTTGAGAATAAATTATTCAATTATCACCTACTTAAAAACCACTATAACTTCAAATTAAATTATTTATTGTGAGCTATATTAGCGGAGATTAAACATTCATTCTAAACGAGACTTTTACTATAACCCGCAAGAATTAACTTGAGACCTGAGCGCAGTAGGTAGTAGGCACACAACGGCGCTCAGGTCTCAAGTTAACTGTTACGGGCTACACCTGCCAAAGAGATTGATTATTGAAACGCAACTTTATAGTATTCAGACAGAGTATCTTTTATTCAAAATAAAGAAACATAATCGATTCTAATATAAAAACTAATGTGAAGGATGAATCTGATGCTGTTTAATATGTTTGTTGATATCAGGTTCCAGTTTATTCAAGAACAGCCGCAAGTCACCACGTTCGGTAACATGCAAACGATTTCTCTTTTTAGTAAGCAGCGTTGTCACAGCACTAAAACCACGTTCACACAAATATGACGATGGGAATGCTGTCAAGAATCGTTGAACGATTGACCACAATCCAGGGTACAATTGCGGGATCGGTTTTTGTAGCCAACATTCTTGGTAGCCATTTTTGAACTTGATTTTTATTTCCTCGTTCGTTGTCAATTCTATAAGTTCTTCTTCCAGCTGAGGTGATATTGCTGTGTTGGCATTTGAAAACGGATCCTACACCCGGTCTGGTATTTCCAAGTTCAAAATATCCTGGTATCGTTCGGTGAAGTCAATGTGGAGGTTTTCCAAATGTTGGCCGTAAGCAAACAAATCGTCGTTACTGCAGGATACTGATAAATTCAGAAAATTGTGAAACTCACGTCTGCCCATATTCTTTTTGTGTAGAAGCTGGCTGCGAAAGCCACAACGACATTTTTTGTTTTAATTAAATTTAGTTCATCGCCTTGCAGTTGGAGATTCATGTCGTTGAACAATTTATACAGGTCTGTCATGTAAGCTATATCATTCTCTGATGTAATGAGCTTGTTGCGCAATTCTGTATCTTTAGTTTCCAAGAACTCTATCACAGAGTCAAACAGGTTGTAAAATCGAGTCAGACAATTTGCCTCTTGATAGCCAACGAACTTCATTATGAAACAACAAACGGTTGAAATCTTCGTCATTAGTAGCACAAAGCTGATGAAATAATCTATCATTCAAAGAGCTGTTACAGATTTTATTGACTGCTTTGATGACATATTGCAGTGATTGAAATTGTCGTTAACTTAAATTTCTAGCAACCAAATGTTGTCTATGAATAACGCAATGTACAGCAAGGACATCTGGAATGTTATTTTTTAAGTACGCTATGAAGACTTTATGGCACCCTGTCATAGCCGGAGCGCCATCCGTAGCAACGGATTCAATATTTGTCAAGGGAACCTCTTTCTCATCAGAAAACTTTTGTATTGAATATGGTTTCGCCTTTTGTATCGGTCTCTAAATTTCTAGCAAACAATAGTTCTTCACATATTTTCTCATCTTTAATAAACCTCACATAAGATAGCAACAATGCTTCATTAGTTGGTAAAGTAGACTCATCGAGCTGAATTGAGAATTGACTAGTCCTCAGATGATTGCCCAATGATTCTTTGATGTTTTCAGCCATTTCATCAATTCGTCTTTGCACGGAATCATTACTCAAAGGAATTTTTCGGATAATATCTGCGGCCTTTTATGAAGCACAGTAGTTATTACTTCCTTTATTGCTGGTAAAATTACTCGTCTCCGATGTTGTGTGGTTTGCCTTTTTGAGCAATTAACAAAGTGATATTGTACGAATTTCGAAGTCCGTCGTCATCTTGCTTAGCAGCCGCCGAAAAGAGTTTTGCTACACTTGACTGAGTATTATGCTTCTTCTCTAGGTTTTGAAAATATGCTACATTCTTGTCTTTTTTATCTGAATGCATTTTATTCAAAT